CCCGCCACCCCCGCCTCTGCCCAGCACCCGTCTCAAGGCCCCTGCCTGGGCAAGCTCCCGAGTTTTTAAAAGCACCGGCTTCTTGCCCGGGGAGGAGCTCTCTCCTCTCGTTTTTCTCAGTATTTCCCCCTTAGCGGTTTGGACTTCAGGTATTTCAGAGACCGCGTCTCTTCCCAGGCGACGCCAGCAGCCGGCTTCAAGTTCCGCTGATAGTTAACGCAGCCTGGATCGTCGCGCAATAAACCCAAGACCAGCGCCTAGCATCATCTGAAGCCAGGCTGAAACTTTGCAAACTCGAATCCGGAGAAGGCTAGAACCAGGGTGGCTTGTCAGAACGCGATTTAAACGCTCTCAAATCCCACGGCCATTTAGTTTTTCTCTCGCTTAACCGTGAGCTGGTTCGGTTACTTGGTGTTTCACAGAAACCGTCATACACGCGCTCTCTGCGAGGAAATTATTTTAATAAAATAATTTATGAAGGAAAAAGCAAGCGCTTCACCGTTTTACTCGCAGTGGGGTGGTACAGCGCGAGCAACTTCCCATACTACACCTTCTCCTTTTAGCGCTAAGAAAATATTTTTATTAATATCAGTTCTAACTAAGGTTTCTGACAGTTGTTTCCCCAGCGTGCTCACCCTTCCCTTTCCCTGCTTGAAACCGACAGGAAGGTAAGGGGCTTATATAAGCAGGAGATGGGTCGAAACACAGATAAACCTTGGGAAACGCTGCCCTGAATTATGGAGCTACACCCAGGGAGCTGCGGAGCTGCAATGAATGCAGTGGTATACTGCCAATCACATGGAAGTGCTAATATATGCCAAAAATCTTCAGTGCGCAACTCCTAAACTGGTATAATAGGGGGCTATGCAATGGCAGGTGGTGTTACAGAATCGTCACAGAAAGAAGGAGAGAGGTTTGCTAATACAATATGCCCGTCCTTCACGCTGACAGGTGACGAGGGGTCAAGCTGCTAATGAAGGTCTGCTCCATTGCGGCGGGAGGCTCAGAAGGTGGCTGCTTGAAAACCTCTTTCTCCCTCCAAGATGGTATAAGGGCTGCTGTTTTTCAGGTTACTGCATGCAGACGTTCTTCCAAATCCTCTGTGCAGCTCCCGAAGCACTGGACAAAAACGAGGAGAGGTGCCCCGAAAAACAGCCTTTTGATTATTCGTGACACATCTTAGGCAATGGAAAATTGTGCCTCCAAGTCAAACGGAGGAGCGTATAGAAAGCAGGGTACCACAGCACAACCCCAGACTACCGGAGATCCGCATCTCCAACACGCTCCCTCCAGCTACCCTCTGCAAGAGGTACGTTTGATCGAAATTAATTTAGAATATGCAAGACTGACGGGTTTGCCTCCCTGCTTACACCGGCCTTTCACGCCTGTACACACTGCAGCACTGCGATAGCTCCTCGCCTGTTCTGCAGTGCCATGTTACCCACGACCTGCCAAGCTACGTCTCCCTCGTGGTGCTACACGTGTGAGTGGGAGTAGGTAACGGCAGGGATGCGGAGCCCCACCGGCAGAGGAGCCACGGGGCAGGTCGCCCGATCAGCTCCTGCCCCATCCCACCCCGGGGCGCAGCGGTGCACGCGCACGTCGGACAACGGCAAGGCCCAAATACAGCCTTGCCTCAATGATACACAGGTTTTTAGTGCAAACCGCCAGAAAGCGTTTCCATTTAACTATAGGCAGGCAAACGTGGTTTGGTATGTCTCCATTTTCCCCGCCTGATATTCTGCTGCCTACTGTGGGGGCAGAGGGAAGGCCATAAGGAGGGCAGCTGCAAAAATCTGCATGTTTCCCTCTGAAGTAAATGCACGCTAAATATACTGCGAGAGAGAGCTATTCTAAAATAGTAAATTAAAAGGCCTAAATAAGAAATTCCAAACAAAAGAAAAACCTTTGAATGGTAATGAATAAGCAAATAGAAAATTACTGGGCACAAAGTGGAAAATAAGACAATTTCATGGGCTGTTTCTTTACTGTGCAAGTAAGAAGTCAAATCACTTTAAAAAATAATCTTCAGCACAAAAAGATGTAGTTTTAAAATACTCCCTGCCACAATTGTTGCTGTCTTGGTTTTGTTTTTTTTTAAATGCCATAAACAAAATATTGTGAGTGACACAGAAAGAGAACACTTCTGCCCAGACAAAAGAATCCAATCAGCCTAAGTACCGTCCAATGCTTAAAACAAAAAACCCCAACCAGCCCCCTGCCCAAACCCCAAAGTCCCTCCCCAAACCCAGTTACTTGGCTTTGCCTGCTTAAAACCAAGCAGCCAACCCACCTGCCTTCCTGTGAGTGTTTCCCTCTCTAGTCAGTGGAAGTGGTTTTAAATGTCACATTCCGTTGGGACTCTTTCCATATATTTATATACACGGGCAACTCGTGTACGTTCTCTTTCGCAGGAGGGAGGGTTCAGAAAACCTAGAACAGCCTCTATCACTTTAACGTTTATTCTCAGAATACTGCTATTTATGACACCGCTTGTGAGAGTTGCGTGATTCAGTTATCAGCGTAACTGAATTCATTTTCTTAAGGTCAATTGTCTTCTGTGGATATTAGAGTTTGAATAATATTGAAAGGGAGCTGGCAGGGGATTTTTCAGCGGTTTAGTTTTTGTACCTCAGAATTCAGTGCTACTACAAATTCCCCCCCCCCCCCCCCCCCAATCTCAATGAGAGTACCTGTAATCAATGGGAACCAAATTTCCTGAGATAATTTTTGCTGTCCTAGCAATTAATATATCAGTAGTTTCACAGTGGGTAGAAATAAACCTTTACCAACACTTTTCCTACGCTGTTAATTCCCGCCGTCCTTCCTCAAAAAAGGCCTTCCGAAACTTAAGACAGGTTTGTAAATGTATTTTTATTATGTTGCAAGAATCAAAATATATATGTACTACTGATTTTTTTCCCCCAAATATTAAATGAAAACGTAATACATTTTTGCCCACATTGTGTTCTTGAATGCTTTGGAATCTGTAAAGACCCTGACATAAAGAAACTGAAGCAACTGCACAATTAGAGACTGAAAGGTGTTACAGTGCTGCACTTACACTGCAAATGAAGTCAGATGTCTCTGTTTAATCAAATATAGCCTCAACAGTCTCTGTTTTGTGAGTATTAGAAACAATAAACAAATATACACAGAAAGCGTCACAAACAGTAAATCGGTTATTTAAATACAACTGTATCCAACATAGCAGCTAAACACTGGACAATGTTTGAGGTCATCAGCACATCCACATGCTCTTCTAAATGACGTTTGGGGTCCTGAAATACAAAGGATGCCATGAGAGAAATGACTGAAACACATCTCTGTAGGATTTCATTTACTTCGGGTCTATTTCAGACGATGGTGAGTTAAGGAACAGGGGCCAGTAATGCTCCTAAATCTTCCATTCTAACAAGGCCTAGCAAATGACTGCATTTCCACGAATAAGATTTTATTAGTCCATACTATCACTCGGATAAGTTGAGGATAGGCTTAGGAAGTAAATTTCTATCCAGCATCTGAGGAGTAACGGTGACAGCTGTGAGTTTTAAGGACAACACACAGTATGTGGAATTTACTATGCATCTCACTAAGGCCAATATTTTTAATCTTAGTTCTGGAACACTGCAATTTGTTTTCAGATCTTTGTACAAATGTGTGTTCTAATCCTGTAAAGACTCAGGCATGATCTAACACAGTCCTTGAATAGTTGTGTTGACTACAAGAAAATTAGCATATTTATACCCGTAAAAAATGAAAAAATGCACAATGCTATGTTCAAATGTTCTGAAAAATCGAATGCTAAGCCTGAGCAGTGTTCTGAAAATACACATCCCCACACACTATTACTCAATTGATGTGGGCATTTGTGGGCATCTGCATAGGACAATAAGATTATTTCTGGCTGAAAACCATACTCATGCACTTCTTCAGGTTTCAGAATTGAGATTAAGTAAATTAATCTCCAAATACTGCAATATTACCAGGCACATTTGAAAAACCTCTCTAAACTTTATCGTACTATTACTGTAGCATCTTGTGTGTAAAGCAATTAAAACATGGAAGACACTCGCGTGGGAATTTTAATTTTTTACAAACAGAAGTATTGTCAAAATCTAATGAACCCATCTAATTTTACATAAAAGTGTACTAGAGAAATCTGTGCAAGCCATCCTTCTTAAATAACCCACTTTCAAAGCTCATACAGTTCTCCAGTAGTCTCTCCGTTCCTAGCAAATTATGCAACCTAATAATATAACGTCCCTATTGTGAGCAGCTGTTTGTTTACAAAGCTTTTTATATAAGTTGCATTAAAAACCCCCATGGAAATTACTTAACCGAACCATTCTGTAATTTAAATAATTTTATCAGGAAAAAAATTAATTTCTTTTTAAAGAATGGTATCAAAACAGATTTTTTTTTTTTTTACGTATGCGTAATGATTTAACCAACTAGTGAAGCGCAAGCTCTGTTTGAGATGACATCATAACCCTTAAAATACAACCCTTTTTACATGTTTTAGTTTATGTATATATTTATGTATGTGTAGGTGTGCATAAACTCCATTGTTCTGAATGCTACAGAAATACACGAGTGACTGAACAATAGTGCAGATGTGTTATGACATAGCTGCTAGAAGCTGACACATAAGAGCAATCCAGAATCCTTTAAATTCTTCTACTGCTACTAGCAATACAATAAATACTGGTTCTTTAAGGACACACTGGATATTTTTAAAGCTATTTCTTGTTTCTATTGCCCTTCTTGAATTTGAACACAACCTCTTACAAACTTGTTTTGCCCTCCTCTCCCTCACCAACACACATTTCCTCAACCTTTATGTTGAAATCAAATGTAGAAATGGTTTTCTGTCGAGTCTTCTATAAAGACATCATATCCTGACATTGCAAAGGGATAGAATGAACTGAGTGGGTGTTTTCAGCTTCAGCTTTGGTCCTAAACTGTTGTCCTTCAGCAGCAATACAAAGCAGTGCAGCTTACTTGCATACGTGTGTGTTGAGCTAAGTGCTGACAGCGTGTTCACGAACTGAGGACGGGGGTGAGCCGGCTCTTTAGCCATGACAAAGTATAAACAGCACCCCCACCTTTTTTCCATTATTACTATTTTTTAGAAGTCTCCACAGTTTTGGCCTCTCTGACACAGGCTTGGATATCTTTAAACTTCTTTTCAAGAAGAGGCATAAAAAAAAAAAGAAAGAAAAGCAACAAAAAAAGAAAAACTACCGAATCTCAACACCGCTCCTTCAGCATGTAATACAAATGCATATACAAACACGACTTGCAGATATTCTGCCAATTACCTATAGTCAAAAGCCTTGTTCCTTACACAACAATCTCCAACAAAAATAAATTCATTATTTGGAGCGTTGAGAATATCTTGCACATGGAACTAAAATCACCTACGCACATATAAAAAAATTAATATTTAGAATGAACGAAGCGTATCATTCCACCTCACTCTAATTCATCACACCTCACCTGCTTGCCAACATTTTTTATTGCCAGCTGTTCAGGTGTCATCTTATCTTCTTCTTCAACAGCCTGTGAAAGAAACACAGAAAAGGTCAGTGTTTCAGATTTCATTTACTTTTTCCCCAAGCCACAAGATTCTCAAAATATAAATCTCTTTCTCAGAAAAAAAAAGGAAAAAAAAAATCAAACGGCAACACATTTCAGAAAGTCAAAAGGAAAGGGACTTCAGCTTTTCAGCAGACGTGGTTTTAATTACTAAGTGTTAGTGCAAAAGATCAAGGCAAATACTCATGAATGGTTTTATTGTCAGATATTCACAAAACTGTTTTTAAGCAAAAATCTTAAATGAGCGGTATCAATAGTTAAATAGAGTTGAAGATAGTTAAACTAGTAAAGCAGAACCAAAAATAATGTAACCTACATTGTTTCAACTACTGGAGGTTTGATCTCAATAAATTTTTATAGTGTTTGAAGTAACTTCTTTTAATACATTTTTATAACGTTCTGTTGCCTTCAAACACAGTGTCTTTATTGAAGTAAATCCAGCAACTTAACTAGTGAATGTAATACTGAATTTTGGTTTTGAGGACTTCTAAGAAGTTAAAAAAATAACACTCATCAAGAATGACTGACATGCTTACCTACCATAGAGTGCTTGTTGAGATCTAGTGTTTATAAAAAATATTTCTAAGTGTAAGTGCCAGTATTAAAACAGTACAAATAACTGTGATTCCTCTCTTACAACACCAATGATAATTTCTTTATCTAAAAAGAACACTGAATTGGGCTCTAGAATGTGTTCTAAATACATACTGTCTATCTGCTGGAATGATACAGCTAACCGTATAATCAACTGCTTATTTTGATCTACAGGACTCTTATACTCTCTTCACTAAGTAGAAATACAAAATTGATGTGATTACTCACATTTCAAAGCAAAACATGTAATTAAACACTTTGCTAGCTTAGGGCAAGAAGTTGGGTGGCAAAGCCTGAAGAGCCAATAGGCAACTACACGTAGAAATGATACACAGTTGATTAATAAGAAACAGTCTCCACAAGGCCATTAAAGCCACGCTTGTGCCTAATTTAACCAAATCCCAGTAAATCCCTGCTGAAAACAGATTATACACCAAGGTTCATGAGAGTTCCTGCAACAATTGTTGTGTTCTTATAGTCTAGTCCTTTACAAGTCATTCTGAATAAAGCAGTGACAATCAACTTCTTACTTCTGAAATCAAGTAATAAACTTCACTTTATGAGCACAGCTACAGTTATACTGTCATTATGGGATATGAATACCTTGTTATAGTTCTTAGCTAATTCTAACATCTCCTTCACTACTGTTTCATTGAGTTTGCAATGTTCACTGTAGTCCTGAAGTGTCAAACCTTCCATCCAACTCTTCTTATGCAAATTTAGCAACATCTGCAAAACAAAACCTCTTTAGAGCATTCATCGTAAAATACATTTTTGACAGAAAAACAATTTATAATAGTAAGAATGTAATGAAAAATATTGATCCTAAAACATTTAAATACAGGAAAGATAATAATAAACCATTCTGCTAAAGCAGATGATAAGATTTTGCGTAAGTTTTTAAAGATCAAACTTCTTGAACCCTAAATACAAAAATGAGGCATGGAAACCAAGGTCACATTTACCTTGACAGGAATCCTTAGTGTTTTCTTTTGTAATTTTTAAATTTTTGCTGTAGGTTGAGAATGCACAATTCTGTTGTAGGAGAGCTAAAAGAAAGGTGAGTATTTTAACTGCCAAATAAGGAACAGTTGAAGCTTCTGGCCTCTGATGAAGTTGAAAAATGTTTTAATGCTTCACTGATTATCCTGAACTGTATGCAAGCAGCTGCCACAGTTGTGATGAAGTGAACTTCAAAAGCAATCAAAGCATGACTTGCATTTGTTTGTCCTCCTACAAAGTAAACGTCCCTAAACCCAACATGATCAAGTGATGCAGAGTTTTGATGGTGATAAATGCGGGGACTATTAGAAATAGCTGAAATGTTTTACCTGACACTCTGATGTCATTCTTGAAAGAATGAAGGAATAGCTACAAAGGCAATTTCCTGATTTTCGTGAATAAGGAAAGCGTATTTTGTGGATCTTCTACACACTTGAGGACTGTAGGGAAGACCCTTTCAGCAAACAGTTTCAGCTTGCCTTCGATCTGCAAACACTTACTACAGGCATCTTTGAGAACCTGCAAGACCTGTGATTGCTATCACCTGAATAAAAGTGCCTGTTTCGTCCTATGTACAGCTTCCAAAGAAACCTGGCTTTGGAACATATGAACCGAGTGGAAAGTTTGTGTCATAATTTGTATTAGCAAGATCTTCGTTACTGACAGAAGGAGTTGTAGGCAAACTGCATATGGACAGTTTAGCTAGGCTATCTGGATTTTAAAATCATGGTTTGGTGTGATGGGCTCCTCAGCCAATACCCGAAGTGTGTACTCTTCTTACTACAGATGGAGATAACAGATCACCACCACCACGAGGGGGGTTGGAGATATGTATGAACCTGCCTTATGAAAGTTGTGCAGAGATAGTTGCTGCCTCACACATTAAAGTTTCCCTAACTCGGTCAAGTTTATTCTCCTACTTGCAAAGGTAATAACTTATGTATGTAAAGCCATTAAAGAAAATACACACTTGGAACTTCAGAAAAGACTGACTGGCCACACTATTGTATTTGAACAGAAACAGTAACCTCTGGAAGCTTTTCAGACACTTCCTGACAGAGCTGGTTTTGTTGAATCAATTACTCTTTTCAGTAACAGTGAGGTCTTGAAAGTCTGATACCATCCTAAAAAGGGTTATGCATTTCACAGATTCTTTTCAGCTCCCTGATTTTCATGCATATTCTTCCATTATTCAAAATTGGGTTTTTTTTAATACTTCTAGCCCTCCAAAAGTCAAAATTGAGAAAACTATTCTGAGTGTTTCACCATAAACTCCAACTCAATCAATTTATAACCCTAACGAGGCCATGAACATACACAGGCAGAACTGAGGACAGAACCTGGCTTTGCAAGAATTAACTTCTGTAGATGAAAGATAAGGTTTTTTCTTGTTTCTGTTTGTTTCCCTGTTTGAGACTGTCAAGCTAGCTTGTAACTGAGGAAGTCTGATACAGAAGTAACTGACAATATTTGTTGTCAGTAACCAAACAGTATTTTTTCTGTAAATGCAGGACATCGCTACTTCCTGATACCCAGTCTTAGGGAGCTCCATTCATACCAACTGGAAGCACCTTCTGTCAAAGTGAGTATAGCCAATAAAAACCCAAGATTCCTTCGTTATACAATTCCAATTTGGAAAATATGGTCTTCTAGCTTCAGGAATTCCAGCCTGTGAAAACCTAAGGCAGCTAGTATGTCTTTCAGCTTCATCACTGAAAACTTGAAACTTTGCATAAACCTGTTAAGTGCAGAGAACAGCATGAGGACTTTCCATAAAAAGTGTGGACAAAAACATTGTCAAACTATTTGTATAAATATTAGAATATGGTTTTGGACGGTTTCATCATCACGACTACACATCTAAATGCTTTCTGGAAGAGAAGCCATCTACTCCAGGAGACATAAAACTACTGAAAGTATCAGCAGCTGAAAACAGAATATTGCCACAAATCTTAAATGGTTTGTACAGTGCTCTTTGTCTGAATGAAAGCTAAAACAATTACCTTCTGTTCTAGTTCATTCTTCCTGTAGTTGATGGTGATGGAATAGTAATGTCTGTTTAGTCCATGAATTAGTGCCTGTAAAATTCAGGGAAAGATTTGCATAAAAATCACCCACCACTGAAATGAAGAAATATTAGAAGGGAAGAGTTCATTTAAATACAGCCGTCTTCAAACATCACTTAAATAAGAGAAAAAGCACAAAGAAATACACAGAGACTTTAAGTAGGTATCAAGTTAATATACCTGTTCCTATTTCTCTTTCAGTGTTCGTTAAACTGACAGTTATACTTTCTATTTCTAAACCACGGATTTTTTCACACAGTAACAACTATCACAGGAAAAAGTGGTAACTGCCTGCAAACATTTGACCGATACATATGCACAAACATATTTCTCTCAAATCCTTCCTCTCTCCATAAATTTGGTTAACACTTCTACTAAAATATAAGGCTCTTTCTGTTACAACAAAAGGAAGTTGGCTATCTATTTCTTTACAACCACTGCCAACATTTCCAAGTTCATTCTCTAAGGTACAATACAAAGAGAGCAGCTGAAGCAGTGATTAAATGTGTCAGGTACCGGTTAGACTATGCATCAAATTAACCTTGGATATTAAAGCTAATTTTCTTTTTTAACTTTAAATGGGAAAAAAAAAAAAAAAAAGAAAGGTCTTTCTCATGGTAATTATGCCCTTTGCAAATTTGTCCTAAAGTTGTACACCACAATCTGATCAACTGAGATTAGGTTAAGTGACACCTATATACATGTATCTTCTATTTTGCTCATGTGCATTACATCTTTTTTTTTTTTTAATTTATGACTTAAGGGTGAGTTGGATTAATATTTGGGGGCTGTGGGGAGTTAAGAAAATTCTATGGTCAATCCTCATCACAACTAAAATTGTCTATTTTTCAAAAAAATTTTACATATGAAGTATTCATTTAGAAATGAGATACGATAAATCATACAAAAAATATGCAGAATTAGTGGTAAATATTTCTTATGTTTCAATCATTCCACCTATTTATGCTAAATATAATCTTTAGGGCTATACAGAATGAATGTGCATTTGCATTTTATGCAACTTAATATTTCAGCATTCTAAAGTTATCTGTATGAAAGCTGAAAATGTTCTCATACATACATTTTAAACAAGTTTCTTTTGCAAACACATATACAAAGATACAAACCTACTGGGATGGTTACACTTAGGAGAAATAGCAGTTACAGATAACCATTACTTGTGCCACTTATTATAATTAAAATTGTAAAATACAGGTTTTATCA